GTCCCAGAAGTGGCATCCTGGAGCCCATTTTCACCGTGGCTAGTGGCATCAGCTGTGTGGTGGCAGGGGCCCCAGAAGGCCATGTACCAGTCATCCAACAAGTGGCAGAGTGGGTGGGGGAGTCAGGCAGTGCAAGGTGGCCAAGCACCAGGCATGTGGAACAGAAGCAGGCACACAGGCCAGGTGTAGCAGCCCTGAAGCATGGAGGACCCTGTCCCTGGGAGGCAGCAGGAGAAATAAAGTCACACCCCTTTCCTGAGGGGAGGGGGAGAAGAGCTCCCCTGGACCTGACTGAAGACTGTAAACTGTCAGGTTGGGAAGACTGCAGGGGCAGAGCCCTGGAGCATATGAAAGGAGCTGCGTGCCCGGCGCAAGGGGCAGATGCAGCGAAGGACTCAAGAAGAGCAGAGCCAAGAAAAGCTGGGAGCTCTCCCTCAGTGGGCAATAGGCCCAAGGCTCCTGAAGCTGCCACTGGAGGAGCAGCTTGGGAGTGGTGCAAGACCACTTGGGCTGTTGATGGTGCACAGGGACAGTGCGCGGAGACCCAGCCCTGGGAGCGGTTTGAGACTGCTCGGGCCCATCACGACGCGTGGTTCGGTCCAAAGAGCCCAGGCTTTGGGAGCCGCAAGTGGCAGCTCAAGCCTGTAACCCCAGCAGGGCCAGCAGGCCACACAGTGAGTGGGGCAGTGCATGGGGCAAAGGCCTTGGGGCTGCAGTAAGGTGGCTCAGGCCCCATCTCTCTGCAAGCAGCCATGTTCCACAGTGCACAGGGCAGCGCACAGGCCCAAGCCTTAGGAGCCAGGGAGCAGCGGAGGCTGCTTGGGTTAGCCACCTGGCATAAGGACGGCCAGAGCCTGAAGGGCCTGGCCTGTGCTAAGAGAGCCCTCAGTGCTGAGCAAGGGCACGGGGAAAAGGTAGTGCTGCAGCATGAGGCCCAGCACCCAGGAGCCAGCAGCAGTGGTGCAGCAGTTGAGAGGAGCTGAGCCCTTGGTGCCCAGACCGAGCATAGGGTGGAAAGGAGCCCAGTGGCGCAGGAGAGGCCTGGAGAGGCACTCCAGCAGAGGAGACCCCATTGACCTGTGCCCTGACCACCGCCACCTGAGGGAGCATGAGTTATTGGGCCCTCGGGTCCCACAGGGGAAAGACATTTGGAGTGGGCAAACCCTGAGAAGGGGCTGAGTGAGCAGCTCCCTGCCCGCCCTGCCTAGTCAAGGCCCTGAAGGGAGGGGCCCCTGGTGCTTCCTGGACACCCCGTAAGGGACCCCATTGGAAGGAGGACTATCTTGTGCCATGGGTCAGGGACTATATTAAGGAATAGATGTTATTAAGATTGTTCATGTTTGCATCTTATATTTTGTAATTGAAATGTTGTATTGTGATGTTGTAAATAGTGTTATTTAGGGTTTGACCTTGGTTATTGGCTAGTGTTCACTGTGTAAATATATGTATATGATGTTTAGTTTTATGTTTATGTATATTATAACTTAATAAATTGTATATAGTTATGAACTTTGGGCTTGGATTAACTCTATAGAGGAAAGAGGGATCTGCTCGAAATTCTGGCATCCCTCTCACAGCACCCCCTCCTGCCTACCCATCCCATTCAATTGAGAATAGGGCACACCTTTGGCTGTACCCGGGTTACACATATATGTATATAAATGGTGACACGTGCATCAGCACTGTGAAAATGTCAGCGGTGAGTTTTAGTTCAAAAGCGTGCTGCCGCCATTTTCTCAGCACTGACGCACATTTTGCCTTTTATACAAATGCATGCGCCGTAGCACCAGGAGCTTTTAAAAGCACCCGGCATTGTGGCACAAGCATGTGTACTGCCAAAAAATGCTTAATGAGCATTATCTTAATATGCACTAAATTTAAGCACACTTAAATTCACGCGTAGACAAGCCCACTATGATTAAAGAGAGAGCCTCACCTAGGAGCAAGGGTTAGATTTTATATCAGACAGCAGGGGTTTTCAATCTTTTTTGGTTAGTGTACCCCTGGCGGCTAGTCCAGAAGTGGGGAGTCCCCCGACAGCCAGTCAACAAGCAAGGGGGGAGAGGTCCCTCAGCAGCCAGTTGATGAGCAAAACCAGAAGTCCCAGCGGCTTCTCCAACAAACTGCCATGTACCCCATGAGGCCTTCCAAAGTACCCCCAGGGGTACGCATACCCCCGGTTGACAACCCGTGCCATACAGCATGCAGCACTCCTGATATGTCAAGGAAGGTAAAATGGAGGTGGCATATAAGGATTAGATATTCACAGCTTGTCCTAGGTTTGTAAATCTTTAGTTGGGAAACAAACCAAACTAATATTTTATTAACAAAGCAGTTTGTTCTCCTGTTAGCTGTCCATATTTGTTCTGCATTTAAGATTATGCAACTGTTATTTTGCTTTATCCTGATCAAAGGTTGGAAATAAGCAACTTGCAATCAGAATCAATGCTGTCATCAGTTTTACATTTGTTTTAAACATCCCCTGACTTCTTGTGAATGGTGGCATCTTAATTCACTGTCTTTGTTGCATGACTAAGGATTATTTTATTAACTGGATTTTATTAATGATTAATCTTGCAACTTGTACATTTCAGAACAACGTTCACCTTCAGAGGAATTGCAGCCAGTTTAATAAAAAACTAAGCTCTTGACCATTCAGTAATTTTCTAACTTACCCTTAACTTTCAAACCATTCACAAAGTATTCAAATCATCCCCGATGTGGCTGTAAAATCCTAAAATATTCTGCATTATCCTTTTCTCCATTAGATAACCCAAAGTAACACATTTTCAAAACTGGTCCAGTTTATCTTGGAGCAGAATTTTTTTCTTCCCGTGAAAGGCTATATTTTAGTTCTGTTCATGCATTTCCCTTTCTCTTTTGTATGTAAGGTTATCTTTCCTGCTCCTTGCTAAACTCCTCTCTCACAAAAGATCTGACAAGAACCAGGTAAGTCATGGCTGTTCAGGCACAAGCAATGGTACAGTGAGAGTCCCAAGGTCAAAACTTTGATCCAAAAAAACTCCTTTGTTATTGCCTAGCCTTCACAGTACTTACATTCAGTACTTACATTCAGTACTTGCCTTCTTGTTTATTTTGAACATTTTCTGAGAAATTAAGAGAGTTCTACTTCTGCACATGCTCAGAACTGAGCATCTTCATGCTTATTTCCTCCCTCAGCCCAATCGGACACCAAACCTACAAAGGTATTTTTCCACCTAAGTCCTGTGAGAGGGCTGATACGGCAACCATGCTCACAGCACACCACTACAATCAAGTTCCTCAAAAATGTAGTTGTAATTACTTAATTCTAATACACAGCTGAAAAAGGAGCAGGAGGTGGTAGTGCTATTATCACCCTACCTTTTATTTATTAACCTACTAGATAGAGATGTCTCTCAGGAAGTGGGAGATATGGTTTTAATTGCTTCTTCAGCCTGAGGGTGCTCAAACCCACATCTTCTATTTCCAGGAGAGTGCCCTAAACCACGAGGCTTTAGGCTATTCTGGGTGAGGGGGATTCTTCCACCCTTCCTGTAGGACCTCTGTCAATATACAGCCAAAAATGCAGAAGTCATGGGAGCCAGAAGGAGAGGACAAGTAGGATGGAGAATCGGTAAGATATTCAGGTACAAGGATGGAATCCAGATTCTAGTCTCTGCTACAAGGACTGCCCATGCAGTTTACATTTAAAAAGATATATCTCATCTTATATCTTACAATGTAAATGATCAATGGATCTTACATCTTACAATGATCAATGCATCTTATATCTTACAATGTAAATGATCAATGGATCACACATTTAGGCACCAGTTAGTTATTCTATGTCAGGCAAGTCATAATTTGCCCTGGTAAAAGAGAGTCCAAACATACCATTTCCTAGGAGTAGGATACAAGATTGGATCACTTACTTTCAGCGTGAACAATCTTTTTCTCCAGAATAGCCTCGGAGATTAAGGATCTGCTGATTCACAACTGAATTTGTCATCCCAATCACTCAGGAAACCTGGCTTCAGTAGTTTAATAAAAGAAGTAACATCTGTTTCTGGCTGTTTTGTCTGTCTACAGCTCTAACAGGGTATTCCCTACCTGGGAAAAGTTGCTATTTAGCCATCCATTTGTACTGTTATTACCAACTTAATAGCTAAGTGTCTTATTAATGAAATAGCTGCTACATTCTCTCCATCATAATAATGCATCACTGGTAAATTTTCTTTAGCCCAGCGCACACTTTTTCTCAACTGTTTCTTATGTTTGCAGATAGGAACAACTCTGAAAACATGATTTTAATCTTTGCATTGAATGCATAGATGAGTGAAGTATATGATTACACACTAGAATTAATGGTAGTGTAAGCTATAATAAACAAAGCTAACTGTGTTAGTCTGAAGAAGGTACATCTCTATCTTGCCTTCTGCCTATAATAAACAGTAAGAAGAGCTTCTAATAGTATCTTATATTTCTAAAGAGTCTTTTAGACTGAGTGGTCTCAAATCACTTCACAGATGGAAAGCCTCTTGCATAAATCTACATACAGGAATATTTATAACTGCAGTAGAATTGCACCCACTTATCGTATGACAGATGCACGCATTACATCATTAAGTCCACTGAAGTCAGTGGAATTTACTGAGATGTAGACCGGTGTAGCTGACAGCAGAGCTTAATCCACTTAAACACCCTAACTGAATTCTCTAACAACATTACTCATTTTTCTTGAAAAAAACTGAAAGTGATTATTATTAGAAAATACACACCCTCAAAGACTGAAAAACATCAGGGTCATCCTGCTGCTTCCCACTGCTAGCTGGCTAAATGCTTCCTTAGAGCACTCCGTGAAACAAACACAAGATTCAGTTCTCGTGATCTCCTATTAGCAGCACATCTCCACGTCTCAGAGGACCCAGAGTGCATTTTTTGAGACTTGCTATATAATTCCTGAATAGTCAGGTCTCTGTCAAATTTTAAACACAGGAAACCTTTATTAGTTTTCATACCTTAAGCATTGCAGTCTCTGTGATTGGCAGGATAGATGGGAAAGGTGACACTTGATCAGAAAGAGCTATGGTGTGCTGGCCAACAGGCATGCCCACAGCTCGTCACTCACTGTTAAATACTGTGTGCTGCGTGACAGGTTTAATTCATGCAGACTCTGAGCTCCACCCTCTCTAATTCCTACATTTCAAAAAGCATATTCCTTCAATGCATCTCTTATCTAAAAATGCCCACCCATAAGAACCTCAGTATCTTCTTCCCTACCTATCTGAGGGAAGAAGACAAACAGCAGTATCAAACACTGACCTCCCAGATGGCAGGTGACTATCTCCATATTCATCAGGGTGAATCCCAACAGTGCCACTCTCTACTGAACTTACAGAGGTTTATGGCCGAAAGGCATGTCTACTTACCAGGAGGATATGAGCTCAGCACCATACGACATCTACTAAATATCACAGCTTCTGTTAGGTGATTGAAAATCTTCTGAGATGCTGCGAGCTCTGGTGTTTAAACTTTTGGAGATAGTCTGTACCAGCTTAGGAACAACGCTGTACTTCTGTGGCATTCAAGGAACAGGCTGCTCCTTCCTGTGCTCAGGGTGGAGTTAAGGCAGGCTGGCGCCTTTGCTTTATGCCCTAGAAAATTCCCAGCCAGTAAAACTTCTAATCTACACTTACCGTATGGATTCTTTATAAATGCCTCCTATGGCAAGTTTCTTTGCCTGTCTAGCTCAGCACTCAGGCTACTCAATATTCCTCTCCATGTTATGGACACTTCCACCTTTTTGACCACTATAAAAATCAGACTTAAGAGATAATTTCTGGTAATAGGTTGACAGTGCGGTACCTAGGGCAGCTTATGAACGGGAGGGAGGTTGATGGTGATGGTGTGTTTGCCCACTGTGACAGGACTTAATACACAGCTCCTGAGTACTTGAAATATGAATTAGGGTACAGATGTGACATCATTACTGTGGAGTAATTTATCCCAGATTTTACTCGACAGTACATTTACTACATGGGTAGGAGTTGACACATAAACAGCTTTCCCAAACTGACTGCCAGCAAGAGTGCATCTAGGATTTTGAAAAAGGAGCGAAGTCATGATCAAGCCCTTCACGTCCACAGCTGAGAGAACATGGTAAGCACCGCTGCCTGACAAGTGACCACCCAGCTCAGGAACTGGGGCTGTGCAGTTCAGCCGCAGCTTGGCTGCCAGTAGTATGTGCTATTACAGTGCCTGGAGATGAGGCAGTTTGGAAGCCAGTTTACACAGAGCAAATGGGTACTTTGAGATTGAACTGACTAGGGGAGCAGACACACAACTGGTATACTGGTATAACACCCCACTTTCTGAGGGGTACCTTTTCCGTAGAATGAAGTGACTTACCCTAGTGTAAAGCTCTGTATTGTACATTTGGTGCACTTTTTATTATGAAGTAGTTCATTTACTCTGTAGCAAACATATTGTTTGTCCACACCTCTTGTTACATAGTACAAGGGGCTGTAACTACAGCTTTGAGACTATAGCTTTCATAGCATCTGACAAAGCAAACTGTTGCTGACAGAAGCTTACGTCTCTCTAAATTAATCTATAAGGCACCACTTTTTTTTCTTTTTTCATTCGGCTGCTAGACCTAGGTCCCATCACAATAAATTAGATATCAGAAATCTGACTTGCAACTACCTTGGTCAAACCCATTCTTTGCAGTTTCAACTGGCTTTCTATTTGGTTGTACCTCCAACTCCCCAGTGTCTTCCACTCAGCCTTCCCCCTGCTACTCTCATTCCCCACCCCCCTTTTGTTTCTTTTTAGTTTATCTTCTCCATGCTACCTCAAGAAAAAAAAACACTGAATGTGCTTCTTGCCATCACCTTGTCCATTCTGCCTTTTATTATTATATATTGTGTCTTGTCTATTTAGACTGTGAGCTCTTTAGAGCCAGGCATTTTGCTGGTATAATACCTAGCATGATGGAGTCCTGTTTGACAGGGTCAAAGGTACAGCTGTAATGCACATGACTAACAGTAATAAAGTAAAATGTGCTAAAGACCAAGGATCAAAGAGTGTGTTTTTGTAATGTAATACTTTTACCTCCTAGAGATTTAAGCATAGTGTTTGTAAATTCTATCAAAATGATGACTGATCTTTTTTGTGTCATTCTTTCACACAGTGAGATAGGAACCAAAAGGAGAATTTAAATATTTACAATAAAAAGTTGCACACTCCATGTCAAGTGTCACAAGATGATGTCCTGCAGCTGAGATACAGCTTAGCTGAACTACGCATGATCTTGCCAGATCCAGAAAACCCCTCCATTAGTGGGTGTAAGCAGAGAATGCCCCCAGGCATTGTGTACAGTCCCTGTGAGCTACAAAGCGCATCCTATGGTAAGCAGACAGAGTGCTGCCAGACAAGTGCTTCATGTTTTTGGAGACTATCACTAGATTAAGTTCCTGGCTGTTGGAAGGTGCTAGTGGTAGCACCCATCCAAAACTCCCCATATAGCACTGTAGGATGGAGCTCCATCCCCTTCCCCCCACAAAAAAACAAGCCATGGAAGACACTTACCCCTTAAATGGCAAGGAACATCTGTTTATCCTAAGTGTCCCTTTAAACATCTTCCCTGCCCCCTACCCCACGCCATGTCCTTTCACTCTCTCCTAAATGCCCCTTGTAGCTCCCCATGTTTCCCTTTTACCAATCAAGCTCCCTTCTCCACTGGCCAAATTCCTCCTTCCATTCCCATCTTCCTTTCTCACCTTTGCCTTGAAATGTCTCCCTGATCCCCTCCCCAGGGGTCCTCCTACTTACCTTTACAGTAGACTGTGAAGAACTTCTCACTTGCCTCAGAAGTCACCTTCCCCAGACCACATTGCTGCACTCAGACAGGTGTAGGTTTTGTCTTACATGAGAGTCAGCTAAGCAAGACATTGCTTACATTAGCCCATAGCTAAGCAAGATGTTTGGGGAGAACAAAACATATCAACAAAAAGAAACAGGATGATGCACCTAAGAGTGATATATGCCCTTTGCTGGATGTTGAGCATGGCATGAGCAGAAACAAGATTGGAAGTGATATCGAGGTTTATTCATTTTCCAGATGAGAAGGTTACTGGGCTGCTTTAACTCGACAGACATTGGAGTTGAAACAGAATCTATAGGAAGCAGCAGACAAGCTACCAGGGGAGCAGTGTGTGCAGGACCTCCCAGTGTTGCAATGGGACACTGAAGAAAAAAACAGAACATTGTCACGTTTGCTCTGCAGTGACATCCTCTACACTGTTCTGATAGTTAGCCTGTGATGTGCTTACTGCTTTCACAGACCTGAGGAAGGGCATTTTGTACCTGATTGTCTAATATTTCTCTCAACCATAAGTTGGTCCAATAAAAGATATTACATCACCTCACCTCACCAATCTTGCATCTATTTAAGCCCTGCTAACAATGACAGGACTATCTCTGCAAAAAGGGGCTCTGAAGATGGGACTATAAGCAGAGTAGGGATATTATATAGGCTACTGAAATTTGTTCATCTGGGGACTCAAATTAATTTAAAATAAATGTTTAATGTTTGAATGCCTCAGACTGTGTGTGACACAACAAATGGAGGTGCTCCCACAGCAGAATGAACATAGGAACAGATTTCATATACTGGAGCTGTAGCATTTAGTTCATAATATTCAGTAAAAGAATTACAAGATGTAATGATTTACCTTTCTAGATGAAGGCAGTCATGCAGATAATGATGATGCTTTGTCCGTACACAAAATGTCACATTCTCATCAAATTCTTAGTACATCATACGCCCATGATGACCTTCCCATTTCTAGATTCTCTCTTTGATGTCAGAATCCTTGTTTTTTTAGGACACCAATTCTCAACCATGCCACAATACCCTAGGGTGCCATAAGATACTTTTAAGGGTGCTGTGCAACATTGACACCATTAGATGTGTAAACACCTACAAATGATTCACAACATAAACCCAGAGATTTCAAATCTATAGTGACAAAAACAATTTTGACCCATTTGTGCTCTTTCCAAGCTTTTTTTGCTGTATTAGTTTTCTGTAGTCAAAAAAGGAGTGAAAGCTAAGAGCTGGCAGTCTCTGAGGGGTGCCTTGAGTATAAAAAGGTTGATAACCACTGTTCTAGGTTCTGATAGTCTGGGGATACTGGCAAAGATTACACACAATGAGTTGCTATGGTTGCCAGCCATGTATTAACATAATGCAATAGACAGATAAATGATATTCAGAAGCAGCCATGTCAGTAACTGGTTACAAACTGAACTTAAAGCAATAATAGAGAGATGCTTGCATTTAGTTATGCTGGGACACTGTAGCTACAGCCTCCTAATGACTTCATTTCCCTTGACGTACACTGTAGATAGATACCAGGTTACCCTGCACCTCATTTGGACATAAACTTTTGGAGGATCCCAGAATTTGTGATGTAAGTATAGATGAAGGGAACCACGAGTTTCTCCACCTACTTAAAATGCTCACGGCAAAAATTCTGAGGCAGGTGCTCTGTTTTGAAGATGGGTTCGAGCAGGAGTAACTAGAATAACCACTCAGCCCTCAAGGTTAGTGGTTAACAACACATGTATCCAGCAATGAAAATTCAATAGCATCCCAAGTCAATAAAGTGGTGAAAAACTGCATTAATACCAGGATCCCTGTTTGGACATTTACAGTAATGACTTAAACCAGGGCTAACCAGCTGGCCTTCCAGGGGTAAAAATACAGCCCCTGGGCTCCTAACCAGCTACTGGTCCCCCCACTGCCCTTGCTTCTGCAGTGGCTGGGTTCTCCAGGCTCTCCCTCCCTCCTCCAGCTTCTGCTTCTTGAGCCCACGCCTGGGGACACTAGGCCTAGCAGCAGGAGGGTGCTGCATGTGTAGCAGAGGGAGACCCAGGGTGCCCACCTGGCAAGAGAGGGGTAAGTTTGCCCATGCTGTGTACACAGCCAGAAGGGAGGGTATACTGCTCATGCAGTGGAGGAGCTGAGCTGCTTGTGGAGGTGAACTGGAGCTGGTAGGGGGACCTGCACTGCCCGCAATGGCAAGAGAGGTGCTGGTTTGCTGTACAGCCAAAAGGGAGGCTGTGCTCCCCACACAGCAGAGGAGAGTCAGGCTGCTCACACCAACTGCAAAACAAGAAGCAGGCCATTCACTTTGCCTATGGGACAAGGGGAAGGGAGTCAAATCATTTCCAACATCCACGCAGCTGGGGAAAGCAAGACTACCTGTGCAGCTCGGGGGGGGGGGACTCCAGGGGGAGGCACCTGCAGAGTAACCAAGAGGCACCTCCATGTGACCAAGAGGTCTGTGGCCTGAGGAGTGTGCATCCCCCTCACACTGGTCAGAAACTGGACACCCCTGGCTTAAACATTTCATAGTTTACATTGTTCATTTCCACCTTCTATCACAGTTCATGTACACATACTTTGCATTTTCTGATGAGCACAGACATTTCAGCCTGAAACAAATTGTACCTAAGTCAGTCATTGATGTATATAACAGAACTTGTGCAAAATTTCATTTCTTGGGATAGAACCATCTTTGAGGTAGAGAAAAAAGCATCAGTGCACTTTGTATCAGCCGCAGAGGTAGATGCCTAGTCACAGGAGACAGGGACCAGGGTTGAAACCAGAAGGGTAGAAATCTTATTACTGGAGTATATCACTGTCTTATATTCCACAAAGTCAGTTCACCTTGCTGCCATGTTTGTCCCAATGCTGCGCAGACGTGGGCAAATACACTAGGATTTCATCTCAAAAAACTTTCATTCACGCCTACACCAGCTTAAAGTTGTGACCCTAAGAGCTGCTGAGCACATGCAACTCCCACTGGTTTTATTATTTGGCAATAAGCAACTCTCAGGATCAGATCCTAACTCACAGTAAAAACAAGATGAGAGATTAGTAGTATGCAAGTGACACCACAAAACCAACTGGCCATGATGGGCACCTTCCATTCAATAGGGGCTTCATCCAGTGGCATGCTGGCAAGATATGGGCAGATTACACAGTGCCTGCAACCATATACTTGAAACTCTAACATTATCTATAAAGCTTATATCCATTCTAGAATACATATCATATCTATATTCTAGGGATTTTATTTTTTTATTTTAGTTACTTGTGTGTGTACACATGGGGGTGGGGGGGAAAGAGAGATAGACGGTGCGCATGCACACACACACAAAACAAATGGAGCCAAATTAGAAAAAAAGATCCAAGCCCTTTCTCCTTCCACGCTCTGGAGAAGTTTGGATTTGACTCTCAAATGATCTGGGAACCTCATGGCTTGAGATCCTCCATAAAGGTAGAGTGACTATGACAGGCCTGAATTCCAGGCTACCTGAGGTTCTAAACTAGTTATGAATCCATCTCTGATTTTCAGTAAATGCTCAGCGAGAACTAGAAGTAAAGCTCACAATTCATTTGTTTCATAAGAAACATTAGAACAAAGATTAAAGGATTTTTTTCCTGCCTTGCAGTATGTAAAAATCAGCTGCTGCCAATATACCCCTGACATCTGTATGTACCTTTGAAGACTGGTGATGTTATTCAAAATTCAAAGAGTGTCACGTGTTATTAATAAGAATGTTGCTTGCTACATCTTTTGAACTGTCTATATATTTAGTAGTCGGGCTCAATAATGCAAGCGTGAGTACTTTGACTACATTTTACGCAAGTCATCATTTAAGTGCCTACGGGTACCTACAGAGATGCTAGTCCTCGCTGTAATTAGAATGCTCCAACATCACCTCACCGTCATGTATATTAAGACCCCCACACACTTCAAAATGACCACAGAGCACTTTATCTAAACCTCATCTAATGAACTTTTAAGTGACTCGTGGCCATTTTGAAACACACAAGGGTTTAATACACATGACAGTGAGCCATTTTAATAAGAGCAGCCGTCCAGGAACTGCTTTAATTAAAACAGCCCCCACCCCCAAGCACATGTCTAGGCAGCCTTTGTCTACACAGTTAATTCACACAGCTTGCCTGATCATGCATTTCAAAGGTTTTAAGTAAATAAGAATTTATGATCATCTACCCCAGCTGATATAACATAGCATCACAGTTTCCTTACCAAACCTACAGATCAGGGGTTGGAAACCTATAGCTCATGGGCCACATCCAGCCAGGTAAGAGACTGGACTGGGCTCATGAAGGTCTGTTTCAATCTATGTTAAACTAACAACCTGCCAATCTCCAGCTGCTGCCCAGCCTACTGATCTAGCCTATCTTCTGTACTCCATATTTTATTAAATGGTAGACTGATCCCTTGGTGCTGCTCCAACTTTCCTTGCTCTCTGTGGAGGGCCGTGCTCTCACTCCCCGCTGCAGCCACTACTTATCATCATCACCCTAAAAGCCACTTCAAATCCGCATTCACCACACTTTTTAGCAGCACATTTTTCAGGAAAGACTGCATTGAGGGGGGCAGCAAGACAGCTGAGCCTTCTACACAAAGCATGAACAGCTGAAACAGCAGCCAGGGGACTGGTAGCCCAAGGCAGTAGCTGGGTCAGAAGCCGTGGGCCCCATTAGTAAAAGGCTGCTTATTCATGCCATGCTTTGGCAAATGGGATTTTCTGTTGGTGGGGCCAAGATGGAATTGGAGTCTCACAGTTAAGTCACTGCTGAGGAAACTGAAAACTATAGCTATAAAAATAACTGAAGAAACATCTTCCCTCTTACACCCCCACAACCCACCACAATGCCTGGCTATCTGGACGATGAAGTGTATATGGCAACACTGAAAACAATCACAATTAGCCCATGATTTTCTGTCAACCCCACTCCCATATCTCATGTAGGGCCTCTAACAAAAATATAAATAAGTTGTAGACTGACTTTTTTACAACACTATTTCAAAGCAATAGGTACCACCCCTGAAAACAAGAAGCAGTGCTGTCTTGTAATGAACCCAAGTCCTGGGCCAATTCCATTATTTATGCCAGAGCTTTTTCCCTTCATTATTCTGCCACTTAACAAACAGACCTCTTGGGTACCACTCTGCATATTCTCTGCAGACTTTATAAAAGGGAGAAGGTTTGCATTTGTGAGTTTCCAAAACCTGGACTAGGTCCGTTAAAATTTTGTTTCACTTGTGAAACCTGAGGCAAATTGCAAAGGCTTAAAAATGAGGTCAAGTATTCTCTTGTCAAAACACAAAATGCAACCAACCGGCCTGAAATTTCACCAAACTTCTGTATGATGTCATCTCCAAAGGCAAACAACACAGTCATCCATTTAATTCATGTTCCGTTCTTCTGGCTCAAGCATAATATTACCCCAGGAACAGGAGTCTATTACATCAGACAGAAAAGTTATGAGCCCCAAGTCTCCTTTCTCTGCTACACCAGTTTCACAGCCTCAGAGAGAGAATCTAGTAGTTGATAATAGCTGTACTTCAGGTCATATTCCATGTCATACCAGTAATTCACTAGAGAAAAAAGAAAAATGGAAATTGTTGCAGTTTGGTTTAAGAAATGCTTTATGGGCATGTTTGTACACAGATTTAGAGAGCTATATTAGCATACGTCAATGCTGGGTGGACTTTGAAGGAAGTACAGCAAGCACAATGTAGGCAGGAATTTTTGCAAAGTTCTGTAGATACACATCTGTTTTAACCATATTAACCCCTAAAAAGCTCATCTTTGGCTTTCCCAAATTAGAGGCAGGAAAAGTATTTAGATCTGCTGTAATCTAGACTAACACCACCAAATTAATTTAAATGTACTACTGAATCTAGATATGAGCCTCCTTCCTGCCATATTTAGTGTATTACAGATAAATGAACCCGCTTCCCTACATGGACCACCAGAAAGTGTCCAAATTTTATTATTTTAATTTGGGCCACAATTTATCTGCAATGCACTAGCTATCTAAAAAAGGAGGCAAGTCAAACACATTGTGAAAGCTTCAGTGGTTTTTGGTGACTGATGAAAGTTTGCTCCCAGCATCCATTAGCTCAAACTCAAAAAATATGCCTTCATCCTATACATGTGAGGCACAATTACAGTACATTTCGTGGATAAGAGGCTACGCGTACATACCGAATTCTCCAACAGAGTTACTAGATGGGGCAGAAGGAAACTGTCAAAGCAGTCCAACCTTTTCTCAGGCTAGTGATCCTCAATTTTTTTTAGACTCAAGGCATCCCTTGCAAAATGCCAGCTCTTAGCTTTCGATCATGTTTTGACATGAGAAAAATAACAGGGCAAAACTTCTATTGCACAAAACTCAAAAAGACACCCTTAAAAGGTTTCAAAGCACCTGTGCCTCCCCCTGGTTGAAAATCACTGCCTTAGACCAGGGAGGTCAAAGATACAGACTGTGGAATCCTATCACCTGGCCCATGATAATGCCTGTGAACCTTGGACTGGACTCACATGCAGCACACACGTGCTGCATGTGAGTCCACATGCTGCCCATGGCCATTGGAGCCAGGCAGGGATGGACACTGCAGGCAGTGTACAGGGTTGGTCTGTGGACCCATAAACTGGATCTGGGGCCCTCATCTGGCCCACAGGACCTGGTAAGTTTGATATCCATCTTAGACTATGCCTATATTTACTTGATTTGCCAGCAGAAAGTTCTGGTGGCAGTCAGCAGCCACCACCACCAAACTGCCTGAGCACATGGCCACCTGAACACCAAGCCACCTGTGCACTTCTGGTCCCGCCACACAGTTCCATGATGGTAACTACACCACCAGAGCATGAAGCTGTCCTCTGGGAAGGCACCAGCTGATGAATGGATCACAGTAGCCAGCTGAAGATGTGGGATTGTCTCCATGCCCTGGTGGGCAGCAACAAAAGCTTCACTTCACTCATCAGAAGTGGAGTAACTCTGGCCGAAGAGTGGGGTGCTCTGCTGCCTCAGAGGGGCTGAGTATGCACAGACTCAAAGTTTTGAAGCTTTGCCAGGAAGACTTGATAGCATAAAGCAGACCTATAGTAAGACCTAAATGGCTTGAATGCTGGCCCTGGAAGCCAGAAATACTAATTTACAATTCAGAAATACTAATGTATAGCTTAACTGTCTTTTCAACCGTGGAAAGTACAGTACTAAAACAAATGCTTCCAATATTTGCAGTGCTGTATGTTCACTTTTCTAACCAGGTTGATATTTAATATAAATTAGAATGGAGAAAAATAATCTATTTAAAAGGATCTTTGGCCCCAACCTGATCTTGCTCAAGAAAACAAATGGCATCTCAGGCATGTCTAGCAGGAGCTATCACAGACTACAAGTCTCTTTGGCACAAATGCTCTTCTTACCTGCTATACAGCCATGTGACTGCTGAACATGATGGAACCACAGTGAAGGGAGGTACAACATCTCACCAGCTTTTACTATGCAATGCAAAGGCTTTGCCTGGTCATACTCTGGGTATAGTTTTAGATCTGGATTTAAAGGATCCACTGGAATCCATGGTACCTACGTGGAGAAGAATATTTAAAGTACATGGTGAGATTTGACAAGGCAGTATCTACACCCAAAAAATGAAGTTGATAAATAAAATATACCCATACCTAACAAAATATCATATGTAACTGTGAACCCTATAAAACCATATTATTGCATCAAAATGCTTCTTTCTAAAATAATAGATCAAGGGATCCACCATCATCTGTAGATTCTGTGGAAACCATTTTGGAGATGGTGGTAGTAGAGGTGATGCAACAGGTAGCAAATTCAGGAGAGAAATGGACAGGAAGGAAGAGTTTTCTTGGAGAATTCCTAAATGAAGTAAAATAGGTTCCACCACTGGTAGGTAAACTGAGTTTATGTCACTTAGCATTTGTTGAAATATATTTCCAAGCCAAAACGGAGTAACTATAACGAGTCTTTCCCTCCTTAGCCTTTTGTTTCCTTAGGTCCGAGAATGAATTGTAAGCTGCGTGAACTTATATAGCTCTTTTCACTACAGTACTTTACTAGCTCCTAGTCTTGAATGTACTTATTCCAGGCGCATCCTAGGAATTACGGAAATACTATTATTCTAATGTTATACATGAGCAACTGAGGTACAAAGGAACTGAGCTGTCTGAAATGACACAGGATGTTTGCAGAAAAACTGCAAACAGAACCCAGGCCTCCCGAGTCTCAGATCAACACCTTAAGCCAGGGGTGGGCAAAATACGGCCTGTGGGCCGAATCCGGCCTGCAAGCCCGTTCTATCTGGCCCACAGGGCCCCTAAAAAACTTAGAAAATTAGTATTATCTGTCTTTGGTTCCTGTCAAAAATGACCCGGGGACCCCGGTGGGCTCATGCAATAGCAGGGCCTACCCAGCCCCAGCCCCCCAGCTGGAAGTCCCAGCATGGGCTTCTGGCCTGGGAACATGTGGCTCCCTGGCTGCACCTGGCACAGGAAACTCAGGTAAGGCAGGCAGAGGCAGGCCCCAGGCAGGGAAGGAACCCAGAGAAAAGCAGCCCCTTGCCCACCCCGTGGCCGGCGGTCCCTACTGCAGCCACTGGCAGCCTGTGAGGAGCTGTCCTGAGCAGCCACAGGCAGCCCCACACGAGCTGAGAGCAGCTCCAGCACTGGGTGCTGGCCATGGGGCAGGGAAGGGGCTGCTTTTCCCCAGGCTCAGCACAAGCTTGTAACCCACCCCCACTGCCAGCCTGGGCTTGCCCATCGGGGCTGTGCTGTAGCAGCAGCAGCAGCAGCTGCAGCCCCCACACTTGCCGCACGGGGCAGTGTTTGCTGCTGTTGCTGCCCACCTGGAGCTCACGCACTGGCCAGCCCAGAGGCGGCGGTGGCAAACACTGCCCAGCGTGGCAAGTGGGGGGGGCTGTTTTCCTCCATGCCAAGCAGCTGCTGCCACCTTGGTGCAGCCCCAACAGGCGAACCCAGAGCCAGCATGGGGCCCAGACTGGCAGTGGGAGCAGGTTACAAGCTGGTGCTAAGCCTGGGGAAAAGTGGCCCCTTGCCCACCCTATCGCCAGCCTCCTGTGCTGCAGTCACTCGCAGCCGACATGGGGCTGCCTGTGCCTGCTCAGGACAGCCCTGTGCAGGATGCAAGCGGCTGCAGCAGGGAGTGCTGGCCACAGGGCAGGGGAGGGGCCGCTTTTTCCCATGCTCAGCACCAGCTCCTTTCCTGCTGGCGAGCAGGGGGTCAGGGCTGCACACTGCCCCCCACCTGTACTGCAGGGCTGGGGGGCACTGGGAATGAGCAGGTGCACAGGGCCCACACTGGTGTCCCAGGCACCAGTGACAGGGTGCAGGAGCAGAGGGTCCCAGCCAGCAGGGGCTCTATGGAGCCAGGCGAGCTCCCCACTCTCCCTGCTGGTGCAGCCCAGCCCAGCTCCACAAACCCCTGCCAGCCTGTGCCCCCTCTGGGCCACACCAGTGCTGGCCCTGAGATACTGGTTCCAAGACATAGGGACATTGGTCCCAAGGTAGTGACCAGGGGTCAGGGCACCTGTTAAGGGGCAGGGTTACCCATGCAGCCCTTGACAGCTTGCCAAAACTGGGTAAGTGGCCCTCTACCCAAAATAATTGCCCACCCCTGCCCTAAACTCTGGCCAATCTTTCTTCTTCTCACAGTGTGAATAATGAACAGCATGTTTCTTAAAGTGCACCTACTTTAAAACACTAAGTACAAACAATACATTCTGCTACAAATAAGAACACATACTTTGTTCATCACAGTTTTATTGCACTGGAGGGTACTGTTCTGGGTTGAGACTCATTACTGGTCAGAGGTCTAGCTCAGGGTCTACACAAAGCAATACATTTCATCCTTAATGGAATCAGTTCCTTTACTAAGAATTCATTTAAAAAAATGTTGCTGGATCCTTTTCAGAGTGATGCACACAAAACGGTGTATTCTTTTAACAGCTAATAACTTCAGGGATTCCCAGTGTGCAGTAATCCCCAGTGGTACTACATGACACACTATACTACAGAGCTGACTAATTAACTCCACAGTAAAGCATCACTGCCTACACATACAGCACTATTAGGCTGCAGTAAACTAATTAACTCCTCTGTAGAACAGTACTGCCAGACACAAGTACTATTCTACAGCAGACTAATTACATGCAGCAAAAGCTACATGTAGATGGGATGGGGCTGGCTGGAGCATGAAAGTGATACAGCTACAGTGCAGGGGCTGCCTGCCAACTAGCCCTGCCCTGTAGCACCCTTGTGCCCCAGTCAGCTCCTCTGCAACATGTTGAGTCGGATCAAAGCAGTGCCGGGCCAGCAGGCTGACCCTGGGGCTTCTTGCCAGCTGGGGCTGCTCTGCCCTGGCTCAGCATGCTGTGGTCCCAGGCACATGTGCAAACACTCCATCTGGGAGCAATAAAATCCAATGCGAACTGAACCAGATTTTATTGCATGTGCAGATACAGCCAATATATCTTAAAATATCCTCCATAGAAACAGGATGTACTTCCAAAAAAATAAAATCCTGAATATAGCCTTCTTTAATCCTATTTTTTGTGAAGAGTGGATCCATCATCTAGCCATAGGTTCACTTTCAGAGTAGTGGTGCAATATGTGAAACTCCTTTTCATTCATTTATTTAAACTTGCAGAATTAGAAACTGATAATGCTCTGTAATACAGATACTGTACATACCTTGTCCACAGCATCTTTATCTACAACCTGAAATGAGCCATTTTCTGATATGTGGTATGTTGCTGGGAGGTAGAATTCTGGAAGCACAGGGCACAAAGAGATAAATATCAGCCATCTTAATTTCACAGAAAGACATCTAGTAGCAGTGGGTGACACTTTCACTATTAGACACAAACATCACCAGCTCCAGTTCTCTTCCTCTCCTTCTTTCCCCTCGTTCAGTATTGTGGCAAAGGAATGAAGAACTCACATAACATTTGAAAAAATGAACAATGCTTTATTCTTCCAAATGAGTTATTTTTCCCCTTCCTCAAAACACACACAACCTTTCTTTTCATGACCCCACTCTCTGTGTTCTAGTATCTCATTTTCCTTGTCCGAGTCACAAATTCTTCCTTTACTTACCCAGCATTGTATTCTCTGTCTTCACAGCTTCAGTCATTCTCCAAGACAGGCCTCAGAATTATTAATGACTTATGGCTAATCTTTCATTTCTAGATGCACCCTACTTGGTTTATCATATTTGGACCCCTTAGTTACTCTACTTTCATTGCTTTGGCATTTACGGCTTTCTAATACTGCATTCTAGCAGTTTCCTTTCCATTAACCTCATCTTCAAAATTCAAGACTTGACCTATTACTAGATCCTAAAACTGCAGCCTTAGCAATAGGATGTTTTACAGAAAGTAAACCACATGCTGAGTTTCCAAGTAGCAAACAATGTAAGTATAATATGATTAAAAAAACAATATAAAAATCACACACTGAAGTCAGCATAGGAACATAGGACTGGAAAGAGGTCCTGGGTCATCAAGTCCAGTCCTCTGTGTGTATAGGCAACTGTTAACCAAACAACGCCCCCCCCCCCCATCACTAACTCAAAGCAAAAATTGCCACTTCAAATCCTAATACACAAGTACAGGGAGCTATATACAAAACAGCAAGAACACCCTACAGCACAGGGGTGGGCAAGTATTTTGGCTGGAGGGCCACTAATGAGTTTTGGTGTCCTCTCAAGGGCCACATCTTTCTCACTTTCCTCTCCCCATCCCCACATCGCCTGGAAGTACAGGATGCCCCAATCCTCACCCTGCCCAGAACCGCAGCACATCCCCATCCCCACCCTGCCCAGAACCTGCTGGCTGGGAAGGGTGGGGGGAGGCCAAAGGGAGACATTAGTGATAGAAAACAAGGTAGAAAAGATTTTGTCTGTGAAAAAGAAAATAGTGGGAGATCAGAAAAATAAGAAAGAAAGAAGCTCTAATTTTTCCCCCTGCTTTCTTCCCACTCCCTTACCTGCTTTATCTTTTGTCTTTATAATTTCCACCTAATTTACATCCTCACTGACATCCTGCCACACTTCTAGCTTCTCTCATCCCTTGGAGTCTCAGAACAGCAGAGACTCCTTATGCTTGAAGAAGGGCGACTGTCCCCAAAAGTTTGCCAAGAACTTTTTTCCAACTACTCAGTTGGTCTAATAAAAGATATCACATCTACCCAAAGAAGCTTCCCTGCCTATGTCCTTAGACCAACACAGCTACAACCAAAAACCCAGCTTTCCCCTAGCTAAAATTCACCTCACAAATGTATTTGTACAGAGCAAGCAAATTCTGTCTGTCACTGTTTTGCTAAATTAAACAAGGCAAGCTCCTTTAATCTTCTTCCATAAGAGAAGGACTCCGTTCCCTTGATCATCTTAGTGAGTCTTTTTTGACTTGTTCCAGTTTAAGTTCATCCTTTTAAACCACCACACACAGTATTCTAAATGGCGTCTTACCAATGCCCTGTGTGATAGTATTAGTACCTCTTTGTCTGTAGTCTGTATATGCTACCTAATGTACTTAAGATTGTAATAGCCTTTTTCACAGCTGCATTGCACTGGTGATGTTACTGCATATAAAAGTTACCAATGAAAATACACAAATATTAACTGGGAATGTGTACACTATCCAACCTGTATAATAAGGGTAGCAGAGATATGGCCCTCAATATTGCCTGCTACAAAGCAGCACACACTGGAACCAGCCCTATGTGCTGCATGCAGTATATGGAGGCCATCTGGCATGGGCTGCACATGGCGCAGGGCCAGTCTGAGGGATGCACAGCATGCAGTGCTGTGCTGGACCAGCCCTGCACATTGAATCTGGGGCAAGTCCAGATAGAGCCCATAAACCAGCTTCATGTGCCAGATCTAGCATGTAAAGCCAAACTGGCATGGGCACCACATGCAGTGCATGGCCCAGACCTGTGTTACATGCTGTATGTAGCACGCATTCCAGACTGACCCCACTCACACCCTATTTTCCTTTGTCACATATACAAACATACATGGATATGCATGCATACTAAATCGCATACCATATGGGATGAAGGGACGATCACTGGGTGGATGCAGTAGAAAGTGCTTCTCTCCAGAGATCACACAGTACAAGTTCTCATAGTGATCTTTATGTACTAAAATTGAGAAAGAGAAGATATGGAAAGAAAAGAGGGGGAGAGTGGGAGTTGATTAGCATTGTTTCTTCTTCTACAACTCAACCTGTAGCAAACTGAAAATGTCATGTCTTATCTTCAGTGGGTGTTTTCCTTCTCTTGTAGCCAGAGGAAAAGGAAAACAACAACATTTCATATATGTATAAACATTTCACTTTTCATTCATAAGTATTCCATATCATTTTACCTACAATAACCAGGCAGTAATACAGATACAGTCACTTCTGGGATGGAGGCTGGAAGCCAAATGACATAAAACAGACTGATCAACAGTTTGAGGGCAGTGGGAATTTGGGATTTATAGTATCAACTCATCCATTCCTGCTCTGCTATGCACTCAACCATACAGAAAGTAGATAGGAATCTCAGATCACTGATTTAATGAATCCAGTGCCTACCTTTACATACGGCATTTGTTAGTAACTGAAAATTCAGAGGAAGAGGAAAACACCCATAATGCTATTAATTGTGCAATATTCTACATGACAGAGGAAATTCTTCTTGACTGTTACAGTGATTAGCTGGCACCGTACATGAGAGTGAAATACAAATACTTCACTTGAAGCCAATGTCTAAGACATATAGGAGAAAAACCCTCAGTACCCTACCTGGAACAACACAAGGAACATACACATAGGGCTACAGCAGTTAGAGGCTGAGGAAGGGTAGGTGGAGAGAAAGGTCATCACAAAATAGGAGGTTAAAATAGAACCTCCCCATCAGAACAAATGGGTGATGCCTACCCATCCTGTTATGCCCTCAAAAAGAAGTGTGTCAAAATCTGGACTGAGAGCACATGAAAGACCAGACAGCACCATTTAATACGCACAGGATGTCACAGCACCAGACTCCCCAAGCCAGAAATTCACAGCATCAGGCTTTTTTCCTGCAGAGAGAGAAGAGGTAATAACTTACAAAAGAAAGAGAATTGAACTATTACATTTAAAGAATCTCAAAAGAAGAACTTCTTGCCAACTCTGTTTGTATCTATCCTCCATCACTCTCAGTAAAAATGTCAGTCTTTATTGCGAATAACCTGAATACAACTGTGACCTCCTTCCAGAATTAGGTCTACTGCACTAACCCATTAGACCTGTTAATGGAACACTATTCATCCCTACAGATAATGACCATAGCCATAACTTTCACTTCCTGGAGACTTGGATCTAAAAGTCCTAGCTCAAATCAAACTTCTGTACATCTATGTACCTTAATTCCATTGACAGGAGGAATTTACATCACTATCAGGCGAGTCATGCAAATTCAACAATCCATTACTATAGGGGTGTTAAACTTAGCCAGCCCTGCAGGGCCAGTCTGCAGACCAGGTTGGGTCCACACACCAACTCCATACACCAGAGCCTCCATACACTCAGGGCCAGCCCAGCGTGACAACTCATTCAGTGTATGCCCTGGACCACCACTGCCAGCTGCATGTAGTGTGCACAGGCCCTAGTCAGGGGCTCACTTATGGAACCAGTATGGGGTGTGCTCTGCATGAAGTATTCACACCAGACCGGCTCTGCACACTGGCTCTGGTGTGTTGGGCCTGTCTGTGGGCCTGATCTGGACCAGCCAAGGAGCCAGCATACAGGGCCAGTCTGGCAGCGTGCCCCATGCAGTACCCCAACTCAGCTTTGTGCAATTTCCACGCTGGGTCCAGCACCACATGCTACATGTAGCACATGCCAGCCCTGGTCCAGAGCTCATGCTACATACAGCTTGCAAGCCAGCAGGAGGCATGTGTTGCATGTGGCACACATGCTGGACCAGCCTTGTGTAGGATGCAGGGATGGTCTGTGGGCCTGATCTAGCCCTGGAGCCAGCATGCAGGGCTGGTTGGTACAAACACCATATGTAGTTCATGGCGCAACAGTTCTGCAAGGGGCCAGCATGTGCCACATGTGGCGCACAGGGTCAGTCCTAAACTGACGAGCTGGATCTCAGGGCTTCATAGGTCAGACCCAGCTAGCAGGCCCCATCCTTGACATTCCTACATAACTAACACTTATAACGTCCCAAAGGGCACTGGCTGGATGAACAGAACACAGACAGTCCATGGGCCAGCTCCAGCACATGGAGCCACATCTGTGAGCTATATCCAGCCTACAAAACTTTGTGCGCTAGGTCTGGGGTCACACACTGGGCCTGACCCCATGTGATGGCTCTGGCTGGGGACCTGTGCTGCGTGTCACATCCAGGGCCACAAACTAAACTCCCATGCTGAGTCTCAAGCCCGCATACCAGGTCCAATCCTGTGCACCATATCCAGGGCTACACACCACGTCTGGTCATGGACAGACCCCATAGGCTGGCCTAATCCAACCATGCCATCTGGCCTGTGGGGCTCCCCATAGGTCAAAATATTTAGCAACAGGGGAGCAGTGGAAGCACTAATTGCTACATGTCTCCCAGAGCCATGGAAAATAATGCTACTACCACTTCCATCTGCCAAATTTCCAGATGTGTGGAGAGCCCCACAGGCCTGTGGTGCCACTGCTCTAGGCTATTGTCCAGCTTTTGCACCCAACAGCACATAAAGAATTGATGTGGCTAGAATCATGTCTTGCTACCTTTGACTTCCTTTGCTCAAATGACTAGTTACCTATTTACAGATAGGTTAACAAGGGCCATAAGTCCAAAACAGGACTCAAACTCATGCTTCAGGAGCCATGGTAGGACACCTTAAACGCTCTAATGCTCTCAAAAAAAGTCACACCCTCCCTATTACCAATTCAGTTTCATACAGGGTACATGAACTCAGAACAGGAGACAGCCAGCATTTTACCCACTATGTGGACAAAAGTTCTGTAGACTACTATAACAGCTAAGTCCAAAATGCATGTAGGACAATAATTTTGGAGCAGGCCAAACCAAATGGCCAGGTTAAACTATTGTGTAAACGCTCCTTCTTGAGATAAGCCGCAGTAATCAAAAATATAACAAACAATATTTAGCATATTTGTTTTTTTCCTTACCTAGTGCCTCACTCATCCATGGTATGTCAGGCTCCACATCACCCAAGAGCTCAGGGAACTCCTCAGTTAGGTTTGAACACTGCTTCTGCACATAGAAGACACCAGGAGATGTCACTTTCTTCTCCACGATGTCCAAGAAGCTGCTGAAAGGCATGTGTCGCTCTTCTGGCATAACAAACCGGTCTTGATAAACTGCATCGGCATAACCATTTGGTGTTACAGCCACACTCACCACCTTGGAGCCCATTACCTCCCTGCAAAATATATCTGAGGTTCACAGTCACGCGAGGACCCATAGCAAGCAAACATGTCAGATCACAGCGGCAATTTTTCAAAAAAGCAATCTGCTGTTTGGATGTACCCAGAACCCTTCTCTCTTGGCTATCAGAACATTTCTAGCCATTTACGTACTGCACCTCGCTGTGTACCTTTAACAGGACTTGTGTGTGGTTATTTTAATAATCCTAACCACAGCTCTCCAGGCCTGTTCACACAGCACTACCAACACTGCTGCCACAGGCAGCCCCATTCCAACTTAGAGATTAAATTCTAACATGTTTACTGCTCATATGTCACTGTTACATGATGTGCAGTATGGGCCACTTGGTGCTGAAGGGGTAATGGGGACAAGGACATTGTTTTATCTACTGTAGGCTTGATCAGGGCACTCTGCACATTTTTTCCTTCTCCTGTTGGTCTCCCTTACTGTTCTCCACACAAATCAAATCTTCCACTTCCCTGAATGAACCCCCTCAAGGTACCACAACACAGCAGCTCAGGGGAGTTGCATCTGAATGTTGGGCCTTTGCACAAGGAGATCCTAAGAGAAGGACTTCAGGCATACCCCCAGCCTAACCAACAGAAACAAACAGCAAACACCTCTTTCCTGCCGGTCTAAGTCATTAACCGGCTACAGGCTAGTTTCGAAAGCAATTCCTACCTGAGGTAGGGCAGCGTCCACTTCTTCAGAGCTGGCCAATGATCGAAAGCATTGCGAATGATGCAGGGCTTGTTTGGACATACCCATTCCCGATGAAACTCCAGAGGAGACAGCGGGCTCTCAAGGTAGGGCACAGATTCTGCCAGGCTCAGCTCTGCCAGACAAATTCAAATCAATTTTACTGAACTGCAACCAGCTCAGGCCCCCTGCAGCCAGCTAACACTACTTTTCCCAAGGAGTCTTGCGTGTGGAAGACCAGTTAGAAACTTTCTCTGGGGGACTGCAGGCCACAGAGAACTAAAGCAAAGGAAATCGATCCCAGGCTCTTTGCAACTCAGAAGCTAGGTACTGACAGAGTGAGCTGCACAGGCAACCTCTGCACAGCCAGCCTCGCTCTCTGAACCCACTGCTGGCTGCACTTCGTCTCCCCCAGGGACAAGGACTTAGACACACAGACGTTACCAACGAGCATCATCAGTACTGGGCTTGTACAGCCTAGACACCTGAAGTAGCCCGATCATCTGCAGTGTCCAGCAGCTTTAATGGTGGTGACTGAAGCACGGGCAGGGGCATCCAAGCACGGAAACCTTGGCCTTCGCTGCTGGGATGGTCTCTGCTGATACCTCGCTGCTGCCAGGGGGCAGCCTGGGGCTACTCACTGCCTTTGAAAACGTGTTATGTCCCTGCAGCCGCCCGCTCT